GAGTGTACTTGAACTTGTAAATCTGGTTTCTGGTAAAAGAAAGCACCAACTATATGAAGCTCTAGGAGATGGAAGATCATTGCTGTTCTCAATATTAATCCCACATCCCCTCAGCTGACAGTTTTGGCACGATCACGTACTACAGATGAGAAAATATCCATCTCAACAAAGGACCATCTGCTGCTCCAAAGCAGACAGAGTTGTAATGGGTGGTGGGAGTGCACAAAGGCAGCAGTGACAGGACAATAATATCTGGACTCACCACACCAGCCTCTGGATTTCTCTTCCTCCCATTACTAAAGGTGGAGGCTAAGGTTGAAGAGCAGCTTTCATCATAGAGAGCCGTCCGTCCATCATTTATAGCAGAATTGATGGAGATTGTCCACATGCTCGATGCATAACCGTCGCAGTTGCAGTCATCGTAGCTGCCCCCATCTCCGGAGGCCCAGACATAGATGCTTCCTTTGCCACCTCGGCCCTGTGGAAGGGGAAAATTGACCCTATTGGGTTAAATTCCAAATAGGAGATAGCAGCTCCTCTAAACAGCACATCTAACTGTAAAGCTAGGCATCTATAAACGAGAAAACTGGTCCCAACAAAATATACATCAAACTTAAGCTGAAATAACATGGACTTCTGCAGGTTATTAAATCCAGTTAAATGGCAGCCGCAGCCAGTTCCGCAACCTTATGTACACAGAGCACTTCCATTTATCTCCCCTTTTGCCTGACACCCTGAAGGCTCCTGTGCCAGATGCTGAGACACTTTATGGATTCATTAGCGTTTATGTCAAGGTCTAAGTGCTATGAGGAAAGTGTTCTTTTAAAAGGGATACAGGTCATCTCACACGCTGGGTTTGTAAGATCCACTTAGATTCAGGCAATGGCTAAAAAACTCTGTAAACTGGCACCTTTTTCCCCCTCAATAGATTTTTCTCTAGAGGCATCACTGACTCAGAGCTGTTTCTCTGACAAACCAGCTTCTACTACTAAGCAGAAACTAAACTTATGGGACCATATGAATCATCTACAGAAAGATGGACGGGGCAGACTGAAGCTGAAGGGCAGCTGTGAAGGCTTCATGTCAGTGAAAGGGAAGAAATCTGCATCCCCTCCCCAACTTCCAGACAGGGAAGGAGTGGGAAGGGATCAGCTCAGTTCCTTCTCATCCCGTACCAAGACAGAGGTAGGGGCTGCCTGGAAGGGGGTGAGAGTACTGAACCCAGAGCTCCGCTCTCCCGCCGATCCCAGCACAGCCACCATTTCTCTCTGCGTGCAGTAACACAGCACTCCCTCCCGACAACACCAGCAGGGCTCAGTTTAACAAACTGTTTATGTGCATTGGGCAGAAGGTAAGAAAAAATCTCTACTGGCCAATTCATTGTCCAGCATGAAATGGAAGTTAAAGAATGTACAAACATAGCAACCTGCAATGGTATTTTAATAGGGAACCTTTTCTGCTAGGAATTTAAATCAAATCTGAGCTCCCAGCAGTAGCTTCTATTTTCCATCATACCCCACTGAACAGAGCAACCTCATTATTTCAAGCATGTTAGTGAGTTGCATTATAATCCACTGAATTGCACAGCAGGTTTGTTGCCACTGGGGTACACAGCATCTCAGGACATAGATTTTCATAATAAAGATGATAACTATGAAAAAGCTTATTGAAATCAATCTCCCACAAAGACCCGAGATCAATCATTTGAGTTTCAAGGGAGGATACTGTTGCAAAAATATCTAAGAACAAAATAATTCCAGTAAATTATTAATAAAAAAGATCAGCATAACAAGAACAGTTATGCCTTTTTTCCCTTTGCCCTTTTCCCCTCCAGGGCCCAATCCTAGGCCATCATACCCACACACCCCACCACACCACCCTGCCGCCACCTGCCTCTTCTGCACAGCCTGGGTGGCAGCTCCAGCACATCTCTGTCTGTCCCAAAAAGGTGACAGAGAGCAGGTGGCTGCTGGTGTTGGGAACAGGAAGCTTGGCATGTACAGAGCCGTTCTGAAACAACCTTTTCCTTCCAGCCATTTTAAAGGGAGATCCATGAGGGGCTCTTCCTCTCTTGCTCTCTCTGGCTTTGGCTCGGGCTCTGGCTCTCCCGGGATTGCGGTTTCGGGTCGGGATTGTCGCTCCTCCGGGATCGTGATCTGGGAACGGGCCGGGCTTGGTCGGCGGGTGGTGAGCAATGGCACTGGGTGTCACTCATTTACAGATTTTGTTACTGTTATCATTATCACTACTATTTTAATATCAGTATTATTTTAAGTTTTCTTTCTATTGTTCTTATCTCACCCTACAAGCCTCCTTACCCTTGCCCCCCAATCCTCTCCCCTGGCCCCTGTGGTGGGGGGGCAGTGGGTGAGTGGCTGTGCTGGCTGCTGGCCAAGGACTTGCCCAGTGGAACTACCACAATATTCAAACCCATAATTAGCCTCTTAATACTCTACTTTCAAATGCCTTTCTTTCTTATCCAGGACTGGAAAAAGGAGCAAATGCTACTCGCATAAACTGACAGCAGCCCAAGAGCATTATTTGCAGCGATGCTGAAGGACTCGCTGCGTACATTTCCCACAGCCAGACCTGCAGCAATTGGACAGTCTGCACAGGTGAAGTGTTTGGTGTTTGTCCTCAGGCACCGTTTCATTTACCAGGCAGAAGTACATGGCTTCAGGGGAAGTGAATTTTCCATTCTCTGGATGGTGTTAGTCTATAAACCAGGAAAATGCCAGTTGGGTCAACTAAGTGTCATATTTAAAGTGAAGTGAAAGCTCCTGTTCGCATCTCAACCTTATATGAACCTAAAAAAATTCAGTGGTGTCACCACTCAACTCAGGCTGCTGCAAATTTAGCCCAAAAGCAGGACTGGAGAAGGTGACAGTAACATACACTACAAACACCAGAGGGAGCCTGAAGGAAGACTCAGGAAGAGGAGAGAAGACCAGTAAGGTAAGAAGAGACATTTTAAAGAGTATCTTTCCTCCAGAATCCTGTTGAAAACTGCTCATTTCCCCTAAAAGCGATGCACAGCGTGGCACCTGCACTTCTGAGCCATCTGAAGCTGTATCTTACTCAGAGCTGAAAATGGATCTTGGTGCATTTAGCACTAGCCCAAGAGAGGCTCACCTCTTAATTCAAGATAAACTAGAATTACATCTTGGGCAAGGCTACATGCTCAGAATGTCACAGAGAGCTACTGAGAAGCAATCTTTGTGGAAACAGCAGGTTTTCTATTTCCAGTGTCCTTCGTGGGAAGTTGTGCTACCAGCAAAAAATATCCCTGAGAAATTTTTTTACCCTTTTCTCATCTTCTGAAGAAGCATAATCCAAGAAAAACTTCTTTACTGAACTGCCTTGCAAAAGTGGGTTGGCAGGGGACTGCAGCCTAATTCATTTTATGTAACGTCAGGCGCATCTTGAACTCTTTTCCCCGTCATTGTGTTCATTCACCATGCTCGCTGGGCTAGTGCCTGAGGCAGCATTTCTCAAAATTCTGAATGCTGGATCCCACTTTCCAGATAAAAAATGGGTGATAACTGACAGATAAATCTCCTCCAGCTTCCCTGACCTCTCCCATCAAGGCTGGCAAGTACCTGTGTGAGTAACAGCCGGGCTTCTCACACGGCACTGCCTCTGCAACGGCTCCTCTCGCTCACCCGCTCCTGCCTGGTCTTGTGAAAGACGGACAGGAGGAACGTAACAGTCTTCACTGCACGTTTCTGATGCCCTTTGGCTTTGGCCTAATCCTTCAGTCACAGATCAGGACTAACAGTTTCCAACCAGTACAAGCTAAAAACAACGAAGGGACGGACTCCTGCCCTGCAAAGCCAAGCACCAGGGAACGACAGCATCGGGACGCCAGAAGGCAGATGGGCTCAGGGTAAGAATGAAAAAAAGCAGCACCTAACTGTAGGAGGTTGGTTTTTAGGGGTTTTTTTAGGTGCAGTGATAAAGGTATTTCAGGATAAGGACAGACAAATGGTTTGCTGATGTTTACGGACTTTCCCACTTCTAAAGAAAAAAATGCAGACGGAGCATGTTTGAAAAAATAGGAAACAGAACTGGAAATCACTTTCTGTAACAAATTCAAAGCACATATTATTTTATAAGCACCTTCTTTTTTGTGTGACATATGATAGCTATTTTGTAACTCTTCCCCTTATGAAAACAGAAGTATTTCAGCAGCTTCTCTATAATTTAATAGCAATTTATGTGCCTGGTATGGTAAGAGACAGGCTGGTTTTCCAGGAAAAGTGAAAAATTCTACAGCTTCTTCAATACCTTGCCATGGGTCCTACTAACTGACTCAGTTAGTTTCCATCCCCCATTAATTCTGACTGTATTTTTCTCTGAAAAGAGCATTTCCTTCTCTTCGGGACGGAACGATGTGAAAATCCTTAGGTGTTTTGTAATTAAAAACTGCATCCTTCAGTAACGATTGCTCGTTATCTCAGAGAGAGCAGTCTGCAGCCCAAGCAGGCAACGCAAAATGGCCATCGTATGCCCAGGCTGGGGCACACCAAGGCAAGGAGGGACCGTGGAAGAGCTGTGGGACCATTTGCCTGCTGTCGTGACTTGGCCGAGAGCACCGGGCTGGGCTCTCCAGACATCCAGGAGCCTTGGCAGAGGCCCTGCTCTGCCCTGGTCTCCCCACTGCTCCCGCGCGCAAGCGGCCCGGCTATGCGGCGTATGCCAGCTGGAAGCGGCGAGTCCCTGGCATCGCCGAACTGCTGCTCATCTTGTGCACTGCCAGGGTTCTCTGGAGCCTGCCTGCGTGTTCCTGCATCCCTGACACCGTGCCAGCTGGACAGCACATTGAGCCCCGGGCTCTCCTGGCTCCTCCAGCTATCCCTGCATCTGCCAGGCCGATTGCCCAGAGACATCTGGTGGCCTGTGACTTCCTGGATCTCTCTATTCCTCTCCTATACTGATTTATTGAGGAGTGCTAAAATCTGAAGCAAAATCTAGGCAGAAACACATGCCTTGACAGTCAGGCAAGTAATCTCAATTCAACCACACAGACACCAAAGTTTTAAGCAGGAAACTTATTCGGATTTCCAACACAAGAAAGACATGGACCTGTTACAACAAGTCCAGAGGAGGCCACAAGGATGATCCGAGGGCTGGAGCAGCTCTGCTGTGAGGACAGGCTGAGAGAGTTGGGGCTGTTCAGCCTGAAGAAGACTCTGGGGAGATCTTCTACAAGGACCTTCTAGGGGACCTACAAGAAAGCTGGGGAAGGACTTTTCATAAGGGCAGTTAATGACAAAACAAGGGGTGATGGCTTTAAACTGGAAGAGGGGAGGTTTAGATTAGATATGAGGAAGAAATTCTTCACTGTGAGGGTGGTGAGCCAGTGTCCCAGGTTGCCCAAAGAAGCTGTGGCTGCTCCTCCCTGGAAGTGTTCAAGGCCAGGTTGGATGAGGCTTTGAGCAACCTGGTCTAGTGGAAGGTGTCCCTGCTGCTGGCAGG